GGCAAATGATTAGGGGATTTTTATCCACCAATCACCGTCTGACAAGTGGACCAACCAGGTTCCGCCACGTGTCCTTCACGAAGGCCAACAGGAGCTTGCCACGTGTCAGTCACAGATACGTCCTCCACGGACCACTTAAGACACGCCACGTGTCCACCCATGCCAAGTGGGACAACCGGCCATCAAGGCCCATTTCAGTCTAGAGGCCCGATCAGCCCTAGGTTTACCTTAAGCCTAGAGAGTTGCACGCTTCCCAAGGCTATAAATACTCGATTAATCCTCATTAATCAAAAAACAAAAAAAACAACCGAATAATTAAGAGATCAAGCAGAGAAGAACAGACTTATTAACAACCGGCTAATCTCGCTAACGACGCAGATTACCAACACTAAGCACTCTCACCTAGAGAGATCTCATTACTTTACTTTCTGTATTGATTACTCCTTAATCAGGTACTAACTTGACCGTTGGAGGCGGAGCTCTCAGGAGTCTCCGTTATTTTGCAGGTACAGACGTCCGGTTCCAGTCTCGGAATTGTAACTCTCCCGCAGGACATCAGAAAACCCCGAAACAGTGGCCACTTCATATATATAAGGCAATTAAATAAGTAAATTTTTTTTGGTGTTTAGAGAGCAACACGGGCGGGGGTGAAAATCGATCCCAGGACCTCCTAGGATCGGGAGGGAAGCTCTAACCACTTGAGGTATCCCTCAACCTCAATTAAATAAGTAATTAATAGAGGGTTACGGTGATGAGCAAATAGGGTTACCTTGACGTATAGGGGTTACTTAACTGAAAAAAAGGTTACTCTATTTCAGAAGTGAAATCAATTTTTTTAATTTTTAAAACCAAAAAAATAGGGTTTACTCGAATGAACAAATGGGGTTACTTATTTCTAAATTATTAGTTGATATTAGTATTACTAATATAATAGATTGGAGTTACTTTGATGGACAAAATTAGGTTACTTTTATGAATAAATAGGGTTACCAATATATATAAATAAGCATTATTCTTATAAGTCAGCATGGCCACACCATTTGACTAGCCACATACAAGACTTACCTCTGATTTAAGTTATTGTTATTCTGTTTAATATCGTCTTGTGTTAATTTCAGTAGAAGTTTAAGTTATTTAGTTATCAAGTAGTGAATTGTTATTTTAGGTTAAACTTTGTGTTACTTTGTACACAAATTGATGTTATTTTATTTAAAGTCTATTAAACACGTGATATTGAAATAAACTATATCTTATTTTATTTTATTTTAAATTAGTGATGTTTTTAAGTTACAGAAATTGCAATTAGAAGAAAAATTGATTGAATACGTAGAAATTGAAAGAAAATAGAGGAAACTAAGTATAGTAGGAAGAAAAAGGGGAAAACAGGGGAGAGGAAGGGGTAATAGAGGGAGGCTAACTATGTACCTAAATACTAAAATGCCTAATTAATGTCCAAGCAAATAAACGATGTCATTTGACTCTAGAGTATCATGCTCGCGATACTCCAAGAGTAGGATGGAAATTGCGAAAATTCAATTCCTAAACAACAATCAAACACAAAGTATTCATAAGTATTCATAAGTATATATATATATATATATATATATATATATATATAAACTTTTAGTCAGGCGACGAGGCAGTGACACTTGGCGTTCCAACTTTTCGCTAAGTGTCGTGCCACGTAGGATAAAGTTATATAAAATTCAATTTGTAGGATAAAAAAGTTAGTTTAGAATTTTATTTCAATCAGATTTGGATAGAATTTTAGGATAAAATTGTTAATTTAGAATTTTATTTTTGATAAAGTACCAATATTTTTATCATAGAATTTTATTTTTTTAATAAAGTACAAATTGAATTATAATTTTATTGAAAAAATAATTAGATTATAACTCTCATAAGTTATCATATAAATTTATTTTTTGTATCATAATATTTTTCTGGAGCGAAGGAATTAGTTCAAAATGTACCACATCCATTGTTTATAATATATTCTAATCAATTAAAATAATATACTTCACAATCTAATATAATTTTAATACTGCGTGTAGACCTGTAAATCAGGTCGGGTTACCAGTCATTTTAGGCAGGGTCATTATTTCAAGTTACGGGTCAAGAAATATTTTTCACCAATATTATTATTATTAGTCATTACATGTCTACAAGTTTAAATCGTCACAAAAACACATCAATTCCTAACTAATTTTGTATCAATAATATGTTTTTAAAATTTGACATATAGATTAAAAATATATTTTAAAATTCAAAAAAACAACCCGGGCATCGCAAAAAAACTAAACTTTTAGCCAGGTCACGAGACAACGACACTTGGCGTTCCAACTTTTTGCCAAGTGTCGTGCCACGTTGGATAGATTAAAATAGACTTCATAAGATAAAAAAAGTTAGTTTAAAATTCTATTTTCGATAAAATACCAATATTAAATTGAATTATAATTTTATTTAAAATACTATTGTTAGTTTTTATTACGTACCTACTACATAATGTAAAAAAAAAATTATCTTAAATTCAATAAATACCCGGGCATCGCACGGGGCACCAAACTAGTATATATATATAATATGATAAATATTCTAGATATTATTCTGTATAGAAGGATATAGTTTGTGAACATTATTCTGTAATTATCTTGTGAGATCTTAACGTGTTTAGGATTCACATTTGTAACCATATATATATTTGATCAATTGAAGACGCTCCAATATGAGGAGTTTCACATTATCTAACATGGTATCACAACTCAGGTTTTGATCCAATCAACCTCGAATCTGCAATATTTTTTTAATTTTTTTTCTACACCCTATCCCTAGCCGTACACCCCTCCAACATTGCGAATATTTATCATATTCTATCATTTTTACATTTCTTGATTCGAAGACAACAACAATTTTTTCAACCCGATTTTGTATGGAATTAGGTCGATCTAATCCATAATTTTGTCTATCCAAACCGATTTTTGAACACCCCCACTTAGGCCCCGCTCATCTAACCTTATTTTTTTGCTGAACTGAAATTATTTTTACTGAAATTAAATTATTTTCACTGAACTAAAATTAATTTTACTGAACTGAAATTATTTTTGTTGAATTGAAATTATTTTTACAGATTTTCTATTATATTTCTTCTTCAGCTTTACTAATTTTTACTGAATTGAAATTACTTTTACTAAGGTATTAATTATGGCATATTGAAACCATGAGGATGCACAAGCACTTGATCTCATCAATTAAGAAATAGAAGCTTTTGGCATTATTGGCAATGGATATGCTTCCAAATTTCATTTTCAGCAAAGAGCGATCTTCCTCACAATCTCTTTCACACATCACATATTCACATGTGGGGCTGAATGATAGGGCTTGGCCCAATGGACGGTGAAATGACAAGAAACAAAAAAGATATTTTATTGTATCAAACTTATAAGCTCATTGCTCCTAAATCATATCGTAATTAGAGTAGCCCGAGCGTTGTATCGGGTTATCACTTTTATTAAATTGTTTTTTTATGAAATATATTATCATTTTTTTCACATAATGAAATATATTATCATCGATTATGTATGTTATGCATATATGTTAAAAATTATGTTACTAATTAATAAAAAATATAGAAAGATATTTTTATATGTATAGATGACATCAATTATCATTGGCTAAGATGGTAAGAAAGTAGATCTTGTTTGTTTGAGGTCGAGGTCTAGTGTTCGAAACCCATCAAAAGCTTTTTAATAATAGTTGGAATGATTTGTCAATTGGTAATGACGTGTCATTAAGTGATGAGTGGCACAATGCTATGAGAGGAGAATGACATGTCACATAAACATTAGTTAAAGTAGGACAAATAAATAGTGCAAAAAGTAGAAATCGAGGAAGTATTTAAAAACGAAGGGAGTATGATTAGTCAATTGGTGTAGTGATGATTGAGACTATATTTGGTAGAGATGACCGCGTGTTCAATCTCCCACAAAAAACAATTGAAAGGAGATTGAAACCTAACTAACCAAAAAAAAAAAATACCTCTAATTTTTTTTAGTTGCAATTTTGGGGTATTATTTGTGAGATATTTATCTCTCAAGCAATAACTATTCAGACTTGCCGGACGATTGGGCATTCTAATGGTCACTCCTCCTGGTGCAACTTGCTCTATCACCTCTTAGTCTCTTACATGGTCTTGGACTTAATTGAAATGACAACTTTCAACTGCTTTGATTAGGCTTCCTTGCTAAGATTAACCTCTAAAATGCTACTTATACTACTCATGATTTTCAATATGAAAAAAGTCTAATTTTAACACTTAAAAGTCTAATTTTAACACTTTCTAACGTTAGAGAGAAATTATTGTAGGTGTTTTGAATAGTACGAGCGGAAATAATAATTGTAGGTACGATCTTATATATCTAAATATATTAATGTCAATACATTAGTATGTGTAAATTAAAGCTTTGCAAATCAGCCTTGTTTTAACTTTTTTTTCATACCTAGTCATTAACTAATTAATATTCAAATAGCTTTCATAAACTTATTACACACCTTTACTTAAGAAAGCTTTAATACTTGGTACAAAAAATTAACAAGGTTTTAATTAGTTTAACAATTTTGTTTAGTGTTTAATGAGCCACAATGACGGGTAATAACTTAGCTATCCCTAGTTTCGCTCTCACCAAGTCACCGGTATAGCAAAATTTGACCAACTTAATGTAATCCCTTACAAACATGTTTTGGTCAAGATTTTCAATTCGTTTAATAATTAAGTTCATCCAATCCCAACCTAAAATTAAACGGGTTTGAAAAACAAACCCATACAAGTATATAACCGCCTAAATTGTTACCATGGTAACTGGGACCACCACATAGAAGCGTTAGCTCCAAACTTGTAAGTTGTACTCCAAGTATTAAATGTCAGCTTCCAAGTCTTGTACAAACATTTAAAGAATGCGTCCCTAATGTAATGGTTGAGTCAGATTGATTTAGCTTCGTTACAAGTAAACAAATATAAATTAAATGTTGGTATCATCAATGTTAGTAACAGATTTGTGTAACCGAGTCATAAAACTCAACCCTCTTCTTTGACTATTCCTAACATGAAAAGGTCAATTCCCCCACAATTTCATTTTTCCACCTACTCTCCCATTCCTTCAACTATACTTTTTCAACCCTTTCATTTTATATCTTTATTTTTCTTTCCCTCATATAATTAATCATATAGTATATATACTATACATGCATGTTTGTTTATATACTATGCATGGATTAGAAAGTAATTAACCAAAGTAATTAGCATGGAAAACTCAAACAAATCCAAGAATTTGTTTCTTAAGTTCTTACCAAAAGCAGCTTCAGCAGTAAGCTTTCAAAACCCTCAATTTAGTCCTGGAAGAGATCATCATCACCACCACCACAACCACCACTCGTCCAAGGCTAAGGCCCACGCACATAAAGGCTTCTCCGGGCCAATCAACTACTCAGTGTTACCGGACGAGGCCCGAGAAAAGCCCAAAAAAGATGGATCAACCTATGAAGCCCATGAGCCCACCTCACCAAAGGTATCTTGCATGGGACAAATCAAGTACAAGCACAAGAAAAAGAAGTTAAGAAAAATAGCTTCTAAAAATAAAACAAATAATGTCTTTTTAGAAGTTGATCATCAAAAAATGCCAAGTACAAAATCATCGCCTTTTAGTAAGTTTTTCAACAAATCATTGAAGAAATCAAAGGGTAGTCATCAAAGTGAAGAACATGGTAAGGAAGGTAGAAGAGCTACACTAGATAATAATAATCAAAAGAAGAAGAATAATGTGCCTTCTTTAGGCATGATGAACAAGTTTGCTAGTGGAAGGGAAACCCTAGCTAACTTTGATTGGACGGCTCAGATCGCTCCGTTAGATCATGATCGAGATTATTATTCTGATGATGAGGAGATCAGGAGAGCTAATAGCGACGACGATGATGAAGATGATAATAGGGAGGTAATAATTCCATACTCCGCGCCTATGTTAATAGGTGGAAGATCAAGGGATAATAATAATGGTACAAATGATGTGATTGGAGGAAGAAGGTTATCTTTAGAACCAAGGAAAGAAGTTAATCTTTGGAAGAGAAGAACTATGGCTCCACCTCCTCCTCTTGCTTTGAATTCCAACAAGGTTAGATCATGAGATTATATTATAATTAGTTAATTATATATTATAGAAATATAAGTAATCAATTTATCATACAAAATACTAGTGTTTTTTTTTTTTTTTTTGTTTTCACTTTGCCTTGTATGGAGTATTTGATTTTCATCTTTATTTTTTTTCTCTTGTAAGTTGTAATTAATTAGATTGTTATGTGTTAATTACAAATGTATGTTTCCACATGGACATAAATATATGGTGGATTTTTGCAATTTAATGTCTTCATTTATTTTCACGTTACAGAAATAACGAGCAAGAATTCAATGTATGACATTGTTGTTGATAAGTTTATTATGTAATCATTTTGCAAAGAAATGGAAGTTTTGGTTGGTTACATGTACCATGTAATTAAGAGTAATAATAAAACCATTATGTACTACTCCTACATATTTTACAATATTTTTTGGGATTTCACTAGAATCATCTTTACCATTCTCGAAATTTTATGATTGTTTTTTTACCTGAGAAACTTTTAAATTTTAATTAATCCTCAGAGCTAAGAATTTTACTATAAGTACTCCGTACTTCATATAATAATAAGATTGTTAAAATCATGAATATGTTGATACATGGTTTGCATATAAACAAAAGATATTCCTAGGGACCTGATAATTCCTTGGTCTTATTTCTTAATTATGAAAAAGAGACATTGCATCTAGATTTTTTTACTCAAATGAAAATGCATAGATAGATGAGAAATTGAGGCTTTGATTTGAATAATGGTTGCGGAGTGCCTGATCTGGCAAGCAACGTTACAAGAAAAGGACCATATAATATAAGATATACAAGTATTAATGAAAATCCCAACTGTCTTTTCTTGTTCGTAAGTCTTTCATTTTAGAGTATTTAATAATTAATCACATATTGTTTCATCCACTTTCTTTTACCTTTGATTCAAATACAAATTTGATGTCACTTTCACTATATAACTAATTAATGTGAGTAGTTTTCAATTCATACGACTTTAATTTTATTCAACAAATTGCTTGATTAAAATTGTCAAAAGGATGAGTGAAAGTTTTTCAACATAATCCGCCGAAGGCCTATAGCCCTAAAGTCGTTTTATATTAATACATTTCACCAAGCAAAGCAAACATTATACTAATGAGGGTCGTCTATACTATACTATTATAAACAATAAAACTGTGAATTTAGGTGAGTTCCACGATTACATGACTAATCTTAAATTGAGAGTTAGGGATAATATAGGTGGTTAGAGTCCCTTATCCGAATTTAGGTGATCCTGGATCGATTCTCATCATTGGTGCTTCTGGCTCTTTAACTCACCCCGCAAAGGAGGTAAGGAGCTCCCACCATCGGTGCTTGTACAATGGAGGTTGCTTCATCTTCATCTCCGTCGTCACATCACATGCATTGATGCATACATTTATTTCTTAATAGGATATTTTATACCAAGTATTTACTTCAAATTGGAGGTGTAGTCGTGTAGACCCAACAATACCTGGCCTTATAAAATATCTATAAATGTGGAGTTAAGCAAACGTGTTGTGTCGCGTGTCATACTCGTGTCCGTGTTTGAAGTTAAACGGGTCGAGGAGGCTCAACACTAACCCGACCCATTTAATAAATGTGTCATGTCGTGTTGACCCTTTTAATTAAATGTGTCTTAAACCTTTAACACTAACCCATGTTTTTCTTGCCCAGAACTTAAAAAAATATTAACCTCATAAAAAGTATATATTATATTTCCATAAATTTTTGAGATTTTTTTTTTCTTACACAAATTGAGCTATGTTAATTTCGTTTTGAGAATCTCGACAATAATATGACTTGTTTAATTAAATGCGTCGTGTCAAGCCGACTCATTTAATTAAACGCATCACGACCCTTGACACTAACCCGATATTTTTCATGTCGGGTTCATGTCGTGTTGTTGTATCATATCAGCTTTAGCTTTAGCTAGCTCTATATAAATGTAACAATTAAATTTAAAAGGTTAAAAATAAGAAAATCAATGTTAAGGTGTCATTAAACATATGAGTAGATTTAATCCCATTAGTAGGAGATTGTTTTTTTTCCTTGTTCTATTTTTTGCTTCTTCAATAAAAAGCCTTGCCTTTTTATCTAAATGGTAAAACAAACCCTATGCTAATGAGAGTAATGACCCAAAGTAGGAAAATATTAGCAATGCTTTCCACTGCATTACTTCAATCATAGACCAGCTAGGTGTTTACTGTGCTCTTTTATCTATATAAATTTCACATTATTTTATGTAATTTATTCAAAACGATGATTCAAACTGTCCCCTTTACTTTTCTTTTCTTATTGCAAATCAATAATGTCAAATCAATAATGTCAGATAATATAAAACTCCTTGATTAGAGTGATTTCCATTGATCAATATTTATAGGGTTACAATGAGAAACCTAATCATATTAGGTAACTATAAGATATGTACAGATATCAAAGATAATCTTATACAAAATATATCCTAAACCTAGGATGAGAATATTCTATGGATATTCGCTATCACACCCCCGCAGTCAGAGCGGGAGAAAATCGGATGCTTAGACTGGATCTGAATCACGCATCGAACGGTAAGGATAGAATAGTAACCCATGATCAAAAGAGAAGTAGTAGAGTGTGCTGGTGATGACGATGAGAAGCAACAACCACGACCTACGTATAGTAGAGATATGCGCTTTTAGGCCAAAGGAGAAGAGTCACGCATATACTTGGGCCAAGTTGCAGATCCAGAGAATAAGTTAAGGGATCAAACCATCATCGGGGAGAAGACACTACACTACTACGTGAAATCACAGTTGAAGAAAAACAAATAAAATTGCGCAAGAAAAGATTAAATCCCATCGCTTGAAATTAATCAATTCTCAAAAGAGAAACCAAGTAGCAAGAAGTAATACTCCACAAAGATTCCAAGTGCTGCAACAATAAAATGAGCTAACTTGATAGTAAAAGAGATGTGCAAAAGTTGACCTTATTGTGATATACCACCACCAAAACAAAATCTATGTGATTATGTTTTTTAAAAAAACCAACGAGGCAATGTAAGAATCATTGTTGGTCATGGGGAGGTGGAAATAGAGTGCGGCACATGGAGTAGGTTGGCAGAGGTGGTTACTGCCAGTAGTGGAAGGCGGTAGTGTATGCGATTGCCAACAATGATGGAGGAGGCTTTCGCGATTGCTACTGTTGGTGGGAGGCGCAAGGTTATATAAAGATTCTAAAAAAAAACTTTGAGAAAAGAAAAAAAAAATCTATATGTGTGTTTGCGGAAGCATAAAAAACTTTGTATATCCCGCCGGTGGGTTTAATTTTCTAACCCACCGGCAGGGTGAGAATTTTTGTATATAATCCCAAGATCTAACCTAAGCTGTGATACCATGTCAGATAATATAAAACTCCTTGATTAGAGTGATTTCCATTGATCAATATTTATAGGGTTACAATGAGAAACCTAATCATATTAGGTAACTATAAGATATGTATAGATATCAAAGATAATCTTATACAAAATATATCCTAAACCTAGGATGAGAATATTCTATGAATATTCTCTATCAAATAAGTACAAATTTGTGCTTTAAAAAGAAAAAAAAAGTAATAATTTTGGATGAGTATGGAGCAATACATGCAAGTAAAAGGCCGCTAGATGTGGTTAGTTTGTGAAGTTTCTCTTAATTTAGTTAGGTGTTAGGTCATCAATAAATCTAGTCTAAGAGATGTAATAGTCTTATCTATTAGTGGAAAACAAGTACGATTTGCCTAGGATTGTTGTCGTATTTTTTAGTAACTACTACTCTTTGATAGCATATCAAGAGATTTTGGATCTAGTTTCATTCTTTTCTAGTTTCGTGGTTGAATAAAAAGAGACTTGTCAATGATCATGATCATGACATGCTTGCCTATATAAAACATATTTCCTTTGATTTATTTTTTTTGATGCGTTTTTCTATGTATGCTTGTTAATACATAATTATAAGAATCTTAATCAATATTTTCACTTATCAAAATTATCAAAAGTTGATTTTCAAAATCATAAATTGCGTGTGCAACGAAATTATAGGACTCTGCAACACCTTGTCAACTAATATATATTTGTTTGATTTAAATCACTTTGTATATGTTGTATGATTTTTGATCAATTACAGAATAACTATATTTTCAAAAAGTCAAATAGTATAGTTTTTCAAGACATACCTCAAGATTGTGGCCTTTGTGGGTCAATACTAGGCCAATTGGATTTTTTTTTTTTTCTCATTTGTATGTTATTACATTATTTTTTTATTATAATATGGATCCAAACTACAAAACCAAACATATTCTAATAAGGATTTCTCACATATTCTTAGGTGCACACTCATGCACCTAGAAATAGGTGTAACAACAATACAATATGAATATTAGCTTTTCAGAAGGTGAACATTAGGTTTCTTCTCCTTTATTTTTCTCCTTCATTTTTTATTTTCTCTCTCCTCTGTTTTTTTAATTTTCCCCCTTTTTTTTTACACTTTTTTGATTGAATTTGTTTCTTACAACATGAAAGTAGTTATTAAGTATGAATTTTTGTGTGAATTTCGATTTTGTGCTTTAATTTTGATTGATTAAGGTACATATGAATCTTTGAATTCACAAATTATACTCTATTTTTTTCTCTTTCTTTCTTTAATTCCTTTTTCCTCTTTTTTTCCCTCTTTTTCTCGTTTTTTTTATTTAATGATTGAATATGTTACTTACAATATGGAATTGGTTGTTTATTTGATTTTTTGAATTCATATGAATTGATTTTTTTTTTTTGGCCTTCGATCAATTTCATTTGTGTATGAATTTCATTTGATTTTCTGCATTTTTTTTTATCAATGAACATAATCATACAAAATATGAACTTATGCATAGGTTCCCTTAAATGTGAACATTAGCTTTTTAGAAAGTGAACATAAGCATAAAACATATGAACATATGCATTTCAGAAAGTAAACATAACAATTCAAAATATGAATGTAAGCATTGGTTTCCTTAAAGTGAATATAACAAACTAAAAGGTGAATATATGCTTAAAAAATATGATCATATGCATTTAAGAGAGAGAAGATATGCATAAATAGACTTAATGAAAACAACAAATATTTACTATGAATATTTACATTATGAACATATAAAATATTATTATGAATTTAAGGCATTTTATTATGAACATAAAAAATTGAAGAAATAAAAATAATATGATTATGAAACATATGCATCATAATTCATAAGTATTAAAAATATGAACATATGAATTCAAAATATGAGCATATGCATTGGTGCATTTTTGAATGCGTATGTACATAATTAAGCATTTCAGAAGGTGAACACATACATAAAAAAATATGAACATATGAATTTAGAAAGTGAATATAAGTATTTCAAAAAGTTTACAAACGGATTCAAAATATGAACATAAGAATTCAAAATATAAACATATGCATTCGAAATGTGAACATAAAATATCCGTTTGATTTCACTAATTTTTTTGACAATTTCAATAATAAATTTCGAACAATATTCAAACAAAATTAAGTGATAATCATATAAATTCAAACAAAATTAAGTGAAATTTATATAAAATTGCCTTTTGGGGAGGATCCTTTTGATTTTGCATCTCTTTCCTAATGTCCATTGAAGTTTTTGCAATTTTTTAGTGAAAGAATGAAATAGAGGAGAGAGAAAGTGAAAAAGAGAAGAGAGAAAATCATATAGAAGAAGAAGATTTTTGAGTTTGGAAATGACGTTATATTTATTGGGTGTGGGTGGATGTATTGGGTGTGGGTGGGTGCATTGCAGTTTCCGTGTTTTTTAGTTTTAGGTCTTTTTTTAATTGGGTTGTGTATAATTAGGCTTTTGGGCTACGTTGTTATACCTATTTAAGGTGCACAAGGGTGCACCTTAGACTAATTGAGGATTTCTAAATAGATCCAATTCATCCAAACCAAATATTATTTCAGATTGGGTGATATTAGGCCCAATCCAAATCGAAAACTAGATAGGCACCCAGCCCAATCCTATAAAGAGTTTAATCATATCGATCGGATATTAATGAATACATTATGTGGCCACTATAAAAAGTTCAACAATCTCAATCTAGGACTATAGGAGATATTGATGGATCAAACTTGGATAATTCAAATCCTAGGAGAAGCATTGTGGAGAACCAAGTTCATCATATAGTAAAAGGAAAAAAGAAATTGCATATTTACATTACCTTACAATAAACATTAAATTTTCTTCTATCAAAGTGTTCAATATATTTAGTCATGTGACGAACAAATGGTAGAAATAAAAAGTGTATTCTATCACATCGGATCCTTCAAGAGAAGTGGATCATCATTCACCAAGTATGAAATTCCCTAGCAACCCACTAATAAAATACATTTCATAATCATAACAATTTTTAATTTACTACTAATATTAATAATATAAATTATAGTACTATTATTACTCTAGCATTTTTTTTTAATAATCTTACATTCTGCTCATATTTTTCTATTTCAAAATCCAATAAACCCGTATAACATAAATCCGCCACTGGTAGTGAATCTAGTAAGTAACGCGAACTCCTTGGTACCTTAAAATCTCACCAATAAGCTCACCTTTACCAGATCCAACATACCTTCCACAAATCTTACCATCCCTAATAAACACAAAAGTAGGGACTTCAACCACATCCATAGCCCTCAAAAAATCCATACAACTCTCATTTTCATCCCCATTCATCCTTGCAAATACCACATTATCCATCTGCCTAGACAACTTGATCACGGTCGGGTACACCTTAACACAAGGTCCGCAATGCTTAAGCCCTACATCAAGCACAACTAGCTTGTCATCGCCTCGATGCTCGTTGATCAAGCTCTCGACATCCTCCCTAGAGTGAAGCTGCACCACAGCCGAGTGACTATCACCGTAGTAAAGCACATCTCCTACTAGTTGATCGGGTCCTATTGCTTCCTCCTCGTGAATTTTTTGCATGGACTTGTAGAACGTAAAGTGAGGAACTTGCTCGATTTTTTCCCTCTTGCAAAGTGCCTTGGTTGCTTCGGATTCATCCCCCATCACAAGAATGAACTCGACGTCGTTACAAGTACGGCTTAGCTCTACCATGAAGGGGTAGATTTGGCTGCTTTGATCGCTGTCGCTCATAGCAAACTCGACGACAACGAGCTTGTCTTGAGCGGCTTTAAGGGCGTTGTCGAACTCTTCGATGCTGTGGACTCGTTGGACTCGTTGATCTTTCTTGGTGGTTTGGTTTGGGGTGGCAGCCGTGCTAGCCTTAATCGGCGAAAAGTGTAGTCTTTTAAGGGTTTTGTTGTTGAGTGATGAGTGGAGTTTAGGAAGGGTGGAGAAAGATGAGAAGGCGGAGAAGTTTGAAAGGGTGAGATTGTTGGGAACAAGGGATGTTTTTGGTGGTTTGGATAACAAAAATGAAGATGAACAAGAAGATGAAGATGCCATTTTTTTTATTTTTTGAGAAGATGGTAAGAATTGAAACAAAGAGGAGAAGAAGATGTTAGTTGAATTTTGGTTAGATGATGTGGGGTAGGTTTTTTGATATGAAGAGATATATAAATTGACATTCACCACTCATTTTATGGTGTGGATGAGATTAAGCACAAGAGAAGATACTTTCTTTTTTAGCGTTTTGTTTGGGTTGGGGGCTAGTTGTGTTTCACCAATACAATTGTCTTTTTTGTTGGGCTGAATTCTTTTTATTTGCCCATTTGTACTCAACTCCATAGACCTACGTAGACGTACCATATCAATTTTAGCCACGGATGGCAATTGGTTGTCCAAACATCGGCCAAAAATGAAACAAGAATATCAAATTGTATTTGATAAAATATAAAGCCAAAACTAGGTTTTCAACCATCAACTTAACTTTTTAATTAAGTTGGTCCTTTGACATATATTGTATAAGTGTCATTGAAATCAAATGATGAAAAATTGATTAAGTAAATTAATCTGTGAAGAAAAACGGAACATGCAGTTCTTAAATCTTAGCTTGGACAATATGCTTATGCACATACTGCCTCTGTTTATGAAAGTTTGACTCACTTACTATTCATGTGGTCAAAATAAATTAATTTTGACCACATGTTATAATTTATACAATAAAAATAAATTAGCACAAGGTATCTTATTAGATTCCCCTTATTATAAATTTTTCAAATATCAATTTTTATAATTTTCACTTATACATGGCCGAAATTATTCATGGTCAAAGATATTCATTGGAGACCGTACAAATACAAAATGAGTTGAACTTTCATGAACGAATGATGTAATAATCTTATATAGGAACATTGTCTTCCACATTTCGTCGGCTACGTCCTATATAATAGCACTAATTAAAAGACCGAATAAATGGAAAATTATTTAGAATATTCTTAAATTATATATATTTTTCTAAAAAAAATTATTTAGAATATTCTAAGGTGCAAATTTTTACATTGAAAATTTAGGCACGCTTGACAATGAGATCGCCCTTGAAGATCAAGCGTAGGTGTACGTGTATATTGGTGTTTACACAAGGCCAAAAATATCATGCTCAAGTCAAATTTGATTTGGGCTTAAATCCAAGGTTTCTCGGGCTGAATGAACTGAATCCATCTGTCTCAAAGATATTTGTTGGAAAATGTCCAATTGAAGATCATCATTTGATAGTTTCCTTCTTTTGTGCCACTTGATGTGTTTTTCTTCAAGCTAGAAGGTGTTAACTGATAAGGATAATACTTGCTTGATATTTATCCTATTAATATTGTTAAGTGTATATATCTTGTATAGCTCTAAGGATAATTATCCTACTTAATAGCTTTTGTTAGTTGCCTAACCTAATTTGTATTTAGCTATAAATACCTTTAAGTCTATGTGAATAAAGTAATCTTCTCTCTAATTTCTATATTAACAAGCAATCAAATTTGATTTGTCTTCCCGCTTGAATTCTCTCCTAAAACGTTTCAACTTTCAATCTACAAGCAGTCAAATTAATATATATATTAAAACTCATGAGTGTTGCCAATCTTGCCACATGTTTCTATGTCACCCATATTAATCACCAATATTTCTTCATAAAAATTTATTATTCCGTCTTTGTTAGTATTAATATTTGAACCCATAAGCCGTAACCTTTATATTCATTAAATTTGAACTTTGATCCAACGACACATCTTATATGATAATAAAGTCGTATTATAAAAAGAGTTATTTATGTTCATAATTAAATTCTAAAATTATAATTGTGAACTTATATGTGGATATTCTAACAATAATATGATTACAAATTTATTTCGTTTCTTTTAGTTACTCAACAATAATGCATATAGGTGTTAACTAAAATATGTAACCCAAAAATGCATAACAATTTTACATGTTTTTTCTTTTTACCACAAAATATATTTAATCAAAGGAATTTATTAATTATGACAGTAAAATCCCTTTTACAGTTACAACAAACTGATACAATAGAACATTTAGATTACTACTTACTAAGGGTTCGTTTGGCATTGTTGTGATTTTCTGTTTTTTGGTTTTTTGTTTTCTAAAAGTATATGATATGTGTTCCATAATGAATCAAAAATTATATAAACTTATTAAAATTATGATAATTTTGAAAACTGATAACTGAAAAGTGGAAACACCTTTTTCTTGTTTCCTGTTTTTGGTTTTTGGTTTTCAAAAAAAACTGAAAACTGAAAACCAAAACTAATGCCAAACAAGCCCTAAATAATTAAATTTGATGTTCAATTACATTTACAAAATTTAACAAATGATATTATTTTTATAAAACCGCCAATATATTTCACTTTATTTTGTTGTACTTTTTAATATACAAGTTGTTGTTTCAATGAATACTACAAGAAGGGGAGGTTGAATTGTAGTATGACAGAATAATCAAACTTTTTGCAAAATTTAAACTAAGTAAGCTAGAGGAACTGAAAGATAAGCTAAAGGAACTAAAAGTGCAAGAGAGATTTTTACATGGAAAACTCCTTGGCCCTAACAAGGAGAAAAACCACGACAACTTGAGATTTTAGGAAAAGAATCTTCACTAAACAAGGGCAAATGGACCTATTACAAACTAAAGACTCCAACTTCAAGTTCCTCAATGAACTTAAAGCCCCGAGGAACAAGTCACCCATCCAGCTTGTTACTCTTCTTTTCTCTATCTCTCTTCTCTTTCTCACTTCTCTTTCTCACATACAGAAGTTTACTCAAACTTCCCCATTCCCCAAAATGCAACTCGAAAGAAAAAACTCTAGTATAAGAACACTCTATTTTACTAAAGTGGAAATGGACTCTTAACTCGAATAAAGAAAGCAAAAGCTGAAAACTTAATTGAGCAAGGGTGAGTTTTTCCAACTTAGATAAAAAAACTATTTATAGAGTAATAAACGCTTTGGAAAACTCTCTTTGCGCAGCAATTCCATTACACCACTACTCCAACCCACTAAGAAGATTATGTTCCTAAATTCAAGGAAACATGAACTCCTCAATGTGCTTGACCATGACATGAAAGAAATCATGGGGAGTATGCCGCAAGTTTTGGAAAACTTAAATAAATCAGATTTTATTTGTGAAAAATATATTTTAAAAATCAGATTAAAAATAAAATCCTTTTTGTTATAAAAGATAAACGTTAAAAAAACTGTTTTCCTAAAAACATGCTTGCACTATTTAGACCAATTCCACACAGCAATTATCGAGTATAATTCTATCCTTATACTTACATAAATCCTAAAATATAAAAATATATTTAATCTTCATGTTCTCTGATGAAGCTTCTACTCCGAGGCTTCTGTTCCTCAAGGGAAACTTCACTTCTCTGGTGAAACTTCTGCTCTGAAGCTTCTGTTCCGTGAGGGAAACCTTCTCTTCTCAAGTCTTCATTTCTGAAGCATCAGTTGTTGCAAAGGAACTCTTCTTTTTGGATAGCTTTGCTTCTGGCTCTTTTGTTCCTCATGGTATCTTCACAAGACACTTAGTTCTCTTGGTCTTTGCAACTGATCACGCAATTAAACAATCAAGCTCTTATTAGTTTGTAAGTAAGTGAGGTTGTGTCATCATCAAAATCATTGAGTCCAACACAAGCAATGACTCGGGACATCGCCCGTGCCAAAAACCAGTTTAATATTAAACACAAAAATCTCTAAATTTTACTTCCTTTGTTCTTTTTTACTTGAACTGTTTCTTTTATTACGCTTGCCAATGCAAAAATTTAATTATCAATAACTTTAATTCTTCATAAGTAAAAATTATAAAAGTTATATATTATGATATTACTTATTGAGACGAAATAACATAAATATGTTTTTTCTTACATATTATTCACAAAAGACGGTCAAAGAAGAGGTGGTGAATAGTGTAAAATTCAAAACAGGTCAAGTAAAAAAGAACGGATGAAGTATTAGTGATAACAAACCTGTATTTATAGCACATATATATACCATGCCAACTTGTAGAATAAAAAAATAAAAAAAAATAAAAAAAATAAAAAAACCTAAACATATCTTACAAGATAATAGAATTAAGAATAATCTAAAAATACCTTATAAAATGATAAATTAGAACTCTAATCCTAATTCTAGCTAAACACAGCCTAACTCAAGGTCTGTTCACTTTAGCTTAATTTCAGTTTAGTTCTGTTCAACTCCTAATTTCCTTCTCTCATAAAATATTCATTTCAGCTTTATTCAGTTCAATTCAGCTCCAATCTAAAAATGTGAACAAACCCTCAATACTCAATCGCTGTGATAGACAACTCGAGCAAAATTAAAGTGTGTGAAATTTAACTGGCCAATTGATCAGATTGGTAAGTATAAAAATAAAATAAAAAACCCTAGTGACAATTTGGTAAAAAAACTTACTTCGGCGACAATTTGGTAAAAAAAAAAAGGTAACCGTATGCGACAATTTGGTAAAAATAATAAATTCAAGTGACATTTAGATCAAAAAATCTTAAATATTCTGGAAAAGCTCTTTAAAAGTCCTAATTTGATTTGTTTCGTGTTTTTTAAATTTATTTTTCCCATTTAAAATTTTGAATTCATATGTCATCCCTGGCATTTTTATTTTGCTAAATCCCAAGACCAAATTTATTTCCAATCCCTTTTTAAATTTTTTTTGTTAATATATGATACTCCGATGTAACTTAAGTGAAAATTTATATTTAAACATTTTTTTCTTCAAATTGTTAATTTCCATAATAAAAACAAAGGGGTTGGAAAGTTTTCCAAAAGGGGGGGGGTTGGAAAGTTACGTGGGAACTTTTTTTTTATGAAAAAACCACGCATAACGAGATAAATTAAGCATTTGAGAGTAGTTTGTCAGAATTTTTTGTATTTTTTTTGGTTAACTGTCGTCCAGGATTAATTTGTTTACCAAATTATCGGTTAGGGTTAGCTTTTTTTTACCGAATTGTCACCGAAGTTTTATTTTTATCAAATTGTCGCCGAAGTTATATATTTTTACCAAATCGTCGCTAGGGGTATTTTTTAGTGGATTACTAAACACCACCAACAAAAATGATCACCACCGCCAATATTTGGTGTGAATGGACAATTGTACCCTTACTAGTTCACCATCCCTTCATCCTCCCACCAACCCACAACCCTTCCAACCGGTGACCCAAAACCCTTTCCAACCGGTTACCCATAA